TTCGACAACAGGAACCTGAGGTGATTCGGGTGGAGGCGTAGGTTGTGACGCCTTTGTCTTGTTTCTACTCTTTCCCTCATTCTTATTGACAGGTTTGTCACTGCCACTCGAGACAGGCTTTTCTGACACGAGGGGTTCTGCGGGCTTACTTTCCTCATTGGCAATCACTGCAGGCGGAGGTGATGGCGGTCTGCTGGACACCAATGCAGAAACATTAGGTGCACTGTTAGCATTCGGCCTATCCCTCTTCTTCGTCTTTCTGCCCATTATTGGCTCTTGCTCTCCAACTTTCTTGGCTTCAGCTGCAGCTGCCATTTGCTCTTCCAAAGCCTGTTCCTTTTTCGCAGCCTTATCCCTCTTTGTCTTTGCCGTGTTGCGAGTAGGTCGCGGCTGTCCATTCCTGGACGGACCGGGTGAGCTCGCTCTTGAAGCTGTTGCGGACATCAAAGATGCATTGTCATGCTCACTGGTATTATCGGGAAAATGTGCGGGATACGGAGCTACAGATGTTGCAGAAGTTGGAGCAGGGCTTCCCATTGGAGCTGTGCCCCCCTTTGGTGTCGAAGGACCGATGGTCAGAATTTTGGGAGCCAAGGGAGGTCTCACTGCTGATACCGAAGTCGCCGGTAGCGCGGGATATTCTGACGTTGGAGCAACAGTTTGTCTGGGTTTCTCAAGAGTGTCTACAGTATTAGTAGTAGAGTTTGTGGGAGCTGAAATAGTCAAAACAGATGCCGCTGTTTTCTGCTCGCTTGGCTTAGCACTCTTCTGGGCATTCGAGATTTTCGGTGTAGATGGCGCCTTAGAAGAGGGGGCAACTGGTTTTGAAGCTTTCCTAGGTGCAGATTTGGTTTCCTTCTGTGTCCCGAGAGCTGGAAAATCTTCGGTGGAGTAAGGCGTTGGAGCTGCAGGAGTGGTTGCTGGAGGGTGCAAAGGGGTTGTCGGAACTGCAGGCACTGTACTAGACTGAGCTGCAGTATCCTTCGGCATACTAGAAGAAATGTTCTTGATTTCATGTTTTGGTTTTGCTTCAGACGCTGATATCTCAGGAGTAGGGGCAGGTAAAGCTTTAGACTTGACAGGGGAAGGCGTTGGTGGTTGAGACATGGCGAGTGGAGTGGCAACACGGGGAGGGTTTGCCATGCTAGCTTGTCTCGATGGTGTGAACGGAGCAGCCGCCGAAATTATTTTAGAAGGCTTTCCAATCGGATCTTCGCGAATTGCTGGAGGAGGATGTCCATGGGGATTTGGTAGCCCAGGTGGAAAGGCGGGAGTGTTCGATCGAGACACCTCTCGAGATATCTCGCCATATCTCATGGGTGAGTCATCTGGTACACTATCTGAAACCAAAGCATCCACACTGTGCAAGATGCTTTCGTCGAAAGTTGAATCTTCTAAACAAGGTTAACGTTAGCGTGTCCCCTTAAAAGTGAACAAATGTGAAGTGATAAGTGGGCGGTAAGGTTCAAGGAGCATCATCGGTTAATGCACAATGCTACTACAAGATAGGGACACGGTCACATCACGAATCCATCATCGTCTTCGATAATTGAAGGAGCGGGCTACTGAAGGTACAAAATATGTAAGAATGATATATTTCTCCAGCCACTGTCGTTGGCGTGGGAGCGGGGACTATAACGTACATGAGAGAAGTGGCCGCGACGAAGACGATGATGGAATTCCCGGCGTGACCTGTTTTGACCTTGTTGCGCACCCAGACGAAATAAACAGAAAAGAAACGATGGCAGCAATTCCATGAGGTCCTCTCGCTCATTTTCCAACCGTAATATGACGCCAATGCATCCGAAGCATCCATCTTGGAGCTATGCCATGCCCGCTAAAACAAATGTGTGCTATACCGAGCAACAATGCAACACTCTTTGAAGAGTTTTTGCCAACGCCATCCTTGTAAATGAAAAGAAATATCATTATCTACAGAAGCCACGCCAAATATTATGCCCAACTAATATGGCCATCTACCATCTGGGGAATCCTGCTCCGCCGCCATACATTAGGTTGGGGTTGTACCCACCTTGAGCCTGACCACCAAACAGCCCCTGTCCGACTCCGGCATTGCTCTGTTGTTGATGCTGCATTCTCGCCTGCAAGATACTTGGGTCCGCAAGATCGACTAAGCCACCTCCCCCAGAGGAGGAAGTGTTAGCATGCCTGTGCTTCTTTCCCTTCTTTTTCTGCTTTTGACCGAAGTCATGAAACGCCCCGGTCTGAGGACCGTAGAGCGATGCCAGAAGGCCTGAAGCAGGAGCTGGAGTGGAGGAGGCAGATGGGAACTGTTGATGAAGAAAATTAGGAAACATGTACTCACGCTTACTTGTATCAAGACCCTGATTGCCGCCAGCACTAGGACGACCCCTCAAAATTTCACGAAGCATCTCACTACCATTCTCCTTGTTAGCTCCTCCAAAAGCCGAACCGGCACCCATCGCGTTGCCAAATCCATGCCCTTGGCCAAACATCCCTCCACCAATAGGTGGGGTGTTGGACTTTAGACCTGACAGTCCTGGGGGAGCTGGAATGGAAGGATTGAAGGACTGGAATCCTTGCTGGGGATGATTTGAAGGAGGCATCATTGAAGCTTGCTGTTGCATCATCTTGGAATTGGCAGAAGGTTTGATAGACGATGGCCCAGCGGCACCATCCCCAGCGAAGCTGTACCGGGAAGACTGTCTGTTGTGGCCTGGCTGTTGGAAGAGTGCATTATTCTGGTTTAATGGATTTCCGAGTCCAACCGGGGAAGAAATGTGATCCATGAAGTTTGGAGGCATACCCGATGGGGACTTGAACATTGAGAGTTGTGATTGCTGCAATGGTGTGAGCGATCGTCCATTAACAGAACCCAAATTGCTGATGTTCTGGTAGTTTTGTTGTTGCCCAAGGCTTGGGCCAAATGGCCCGTTGGTAGAGCCACGTTGGATTGGCAGCTGAGAGCTTTGACGACGTTGAAACCCAGGAGGTTGGTTGATGTCTCGTCCATTATCCTCTGGCTCGCCACCTAGTTGTAGACTACCACTCTCCGGTTCTTGTTCTTCCACAGGTTCGGGTACAGATTGAAGATCAACCTGCGATTCCTGCTCCATGTGTAGACGCTCTTCCTCCTGTTGTTGCTCGCGCATCAAACGACGCTTTTCTCCACCATGATCATCGAAAAGTAGTGGAAATGACGCAAGATCATCTTCGTGGATCTTTGGACCATCCCAGCTGAGCACATCCGAATTGATTGACCTAAGGAGCTCGGCGCCAAAGGATTCCTTTTCAGGATGCGAAACATCTTCGATTGAAGGGGTGGGCTCTCGGGCTTCAATCGGGCTAGCTTCCTCGGACGATTCTTCTTGATCTTCAACAAGCTCTGGGGTTTCTTCTTCGACAACTTCGGTTGTAGAAGGAATAGCATTCGAGATGGCAGGACTGGGGGCAGCAGCGCTAGTAGCATGACTCCCTCTTCTGCTGCGTTGCTGCTGTACGCCACGATTGGCCCAGTTGGCAGTTGATGGGAGAGCGGGGCCATCCCCATTGTCCGAATCATCTTTGCTTCCTTCCCGTACCATTGGTTGTGCAGCGGCAGCTAAAGGCTGTGCTTGTTGAATTGGTGGTGCTGCTTGAGCTTGAGTGCGAGATGAAGATGCCTTGGTCGGCAAAGGTCGTTGCGAGTTCACACTGTTAATAGACGACAAATCTTGCCTAGAGTAACTATCGTCATTGTCGCCTGGTTCATGCAAGAACATGCAATTCTTGTTTGTGCAACTTTCATTGCGAAGATATGCCGAACAGTATTTCGTGGTTCCTAATTGCGCCCTTAAGACTCGGTCACCGTTTGTAGAACCGTTGACAGCTGTTATGCACCGTTCGGCATCCAGCTTCGAAGCGAACGTAACGTAAACTCCAAAATTTTGACCTGAATCGTTCTGTTTGGATTTACTGACCACGATCTTGAGGATCTTTCCATACTGGCCAAAATATTTTTCGCCGCGTAAGGTTTGAAGGAGCTCATCCTCTCGTATACTGGGACTTAGACCGTTGACATATACCAAATTTTTCTGTACAACTCGTAAACCCGCTAGATGCTTTCGATTCAGACTTTCCACTTCTCGCTTTTGGGCTTCTTTTTGTCTTATTTCGGCTTTCTTTTTGGCGTTCTTTTGGACATTGGCCTTAAATTGAGCGACTCTGTAAATTGCGGTCAGCAGGTCGATTTCTTAACGCTTCCATACTACATACTCTTCAGGTGTAACAACTTTCCATTTTATTGTCTTCTCGTCATAAGCTCTTCGACAGGCAGGGCAGAGGCCGTTGATATTGTTCTTGATATTATTGTAGCAGAACTGACATATCTAAGACAGTGGAAGTTAGCATCAAGCCGGCAAACAGTGTCAAGAAAACAATAATTACCTGGTAACCACAAGGACATGGTTGAAAGTTCTTGTCGGATAGATCGAATTCTTCAACGCAAAGTGGGCTGGTGAAATTTGATTAGCAAAGTGTCCAAAAGATACAATTCGCCCAAGCTGAATACGGATCAATAGGAAGTATGAGAACGTACCAGGTATCATCGTCTTCATCGATAAAGCTGTCTTGAGGTGCCATTTCGAGTGTTCAAATGTGCGATTGAACAACGAGACAATATTCCAGAAGGTATGACTTTGGTTCTGATACGATGGTTTTTGGTGCGCTAATGAATACAGCGCGTTGTTAAGTATTGTGAGAGTATTATTAAATTATCAATACTCTAGGTATGAGATGCGGATTTTCCGGTATCGATACGTAGAATTCTATGTAATGTAATGGTATTGTTGTGAAGTGAAAAAGAGATCAATTAGATGAGTGTGGGTGTGGTAGGAACTTCTTCGAGGATCATGATTAAAGTGTAAAAGTCATGTTCGCTCTTGGTTTGTCTACGCTAAAATCTCGGTTATGTAAGCTGGAAGCAAAGAGTGGCGCAACAGTGGAAACCTTAGGCACCATCTCTAATCCTCCAGGATCATTCAAGCACCAATCTGAATATCATATCATCGTCAATGAATTTCTAATCTTTGCAATTGAACTTCATACGATTCAATCTCCAAGATGGCGATGAGGGTTTCGAATGGTCGGGCTTTGGCCTCCGCCATTAGATCTACCAAAAGCTCTTTGTGCCAACCTAAGAAGCTCAATATTCGAACATTTGCCTCCACACAACATGCCCGAGTTGTCGTCTCTCCAGATACTCCAAACATGCGCCATGCTCAGAGAGCTCCTGATGTTCCAGGAGGACTTCGAGTTCCTCCTGTGAATCCTGCAGATAAATACGCGGCCAAGTCAGACGATATGCACAGGTATGGATCATGGCTCATGGGATGCCTTCCAAAATACATTCAGCAATTCTCAGTATGGAAAGACGAGCTTGTTATATACATCTCTCCTTCTGGAGTTATTCCCGTATTTTCATTTCTCAAATGTAAGGAATTTATGCCTGAAGATGTGACAGTACCTCTGGCCAACTCTATCTGGTTTCGTTTCACAGAGAGCTGATTATTTACAGACAACACCAACGCGGAATTTACTCAAATCTCAGATATTACCGCCGTTGACTTCCCTACCCGCGATCAGCGTTTTGAAATCGTCTACAACCTCCTTTCCGTACGCCACAACTCCCGCATTCGTATTAAGACCTACGCCGACGAGGCTTCCCCCGTTCCCAGTCTCTGCAGTCTCTATGACGGCGCGAACTGGTACGAGCGTGAAGTCTATGACCTTTTTGGAGTCTTCTTCGTTGGTCACCCAGATCTCCGTCGCATCATGACAGATTATGGGTTTGATGGCCATCCATTACGGAAGGATTTCCCGTTGACAGGTTACACAGAGATTAGATTTGATGAGGAGAAGAAGCGTATTGTCGTGGAACCATTGGAGTTGACTCAGGCGTTCAGGAACTTTGAGGGTGGAACCGCTGCTTGGGAGGTATGTTCACGATTTTATTTCATTCCTGCCACTTTTGAGCTCTTAAAGTGCATAATACTAAAATTAAATAGCAAGTCGGACCTGGTGTTGATAGAAAACCCACCACGTTCAAACTTCCTACACCCAAGCCAGAGGAGAAGAAAGAAGAACCAAAGAAATAGATTCAAAGAGTCTATTGTATATAAACTGTCTACAAACGTATTTTACATCCATACAAAGATTCCTAAACCCCATACAAATGTCTTGTTACAGACATGCTAAAATCTTGCCTCCGCATTGCCGAAGTCATGTCGGATTGTATGGAAACAGAAACTCTTCGTGCCACTACAAGCAGTAATGATTTCAACTCATGTCATACATCTCTAGATGCACATTTGCCCAATTCTTATTCACTTCTCGTACTTATTAATATGGGAGCTGCCCAAAATTCCTGTTTTCAGTATCAGTGGTATGAAACTAGGCCATCATCCTCGTCATACTTTAATGCAACCACTTCCACCCACCAAGTCTTTCTCCTTGATATATTCGTCTTAAGTCACCCATTTCAATAATCGACCAGATGATCGATGAACATAGTTCCCCACGTCAAGTTGTAGATCCGTTTCCTTTTGAATCTAGTCTAGTAGAATGTTGAATATGTTTAAGTCATCCATCTTCAATATATTTCCTTGAAACATTGCTCTCTAGTGAGATGCTATCTGCAGAATACCAGTTAGTCTACTATTCCATGATTTTGAGTTCTGGTCTTTTCTAGCCTTTTCGATCATTTTCGAGATTTCCTGAGTCGAGCTCCTCACGTGTCATCGGAATTACCCGAGTATTGATTGGTCGGTCCAACTGCCTTGAATAAAGTAATTTGTTGCGCATCTCCAAAAATAACGCAGAAGAGGGCATGTCTGCACTCACTCCGTTGCTTTTTTACTCTCAAGTTGTTGACTAGATAAATGGAGAGTATTGCCAAAGATGACATCAAAAACTTCAAATATGCAGTCAGTATTGCATTTCCCCAGTGTATTCATGATCATTAGTATTTCAATCCCTAAACGCTAAACAAACTACATCGAGTAACCAAGTATTACAATCCGAACCTATGTTTATATTCGACTCTTATGTCTAAAATAACGACTAATAATACGACGACACTTGGCATCCCCAAATGTCAATTTATAAATAATAACGAAATTTCTTATTTTCCCAATCGGTCAATGCAACACGCTCAATTGTCAAATCCACATCATCTGTATCCTCTACGTGTTTTGGCTCGGGATCAATGTAAACACCTTGTTCTCGATCGCGTCGTTTGTTCTCCCTGTCCATATACTGTCTTAGAATGTTTGATAGCGCAATGGAGATGACCAGGCAAGCGATCATGCCGTTGTATGCCTTCTGTTACACTAGTTAGGTTTGAACAATCGAATAATTGATTGGAGAGTCCATACGTGGTAATTTGGTGCTTCTGCGGATTTGAATAGCTAAGGCCCGCCGATGTTACCAGCACAGTATCCGATGAAGAAGATAGCATTGACGGTGGTTTTCTTGGTGAATCCTGCTGTATCTGTGGCAAGTTGTTAGTTGGTTTACTTGGTGTGCTAAGATTGGGAATTAAAAGGCTCATAGGAGTATTCAACTTACTGCTGGCCATCAAACTGAGAAGAAGAGGGAAGGCGGAGGGAAACAAGATCATCATCCAGCATCCCACCAAACGTCCATGTTCTCAGTGTCCTTTCTCGCTTTAGAAGCATTTGAATCAGTACGGACAGCCTCCGCTAAGGTCCTTCCCTTTGTCAATTGAAGTCATGATCGAGGATAAAGTGTTGAATGAGATCTGAAGTCAGAATCATCCCCTAGTGGGCAATTGAGGAATTATATCTGTGCCAATTGCTCGACACTAAGATGGAGCATGTTCAAGAGAGTTCAGAGTGCTATCTTTGCCCTTATCAGCAATTATACAACTATTACAGAAAGTCATGATACTGAGCACTGGGGAAGGTTGGGGAAAATGTCCGAGCCGTGATACTCGGTAACCCTGGCTGGTGATTTGCCAGAATTGACGAGAGATAATCCACGATGTATTCGCCGTTATCGGCCCCTATCAATTCGTGGGACGTACTTAATCTTTCAAATGTTCACGTGATACTATTGCTTCAATTGAGGTGACTGTCTTCCAGTAATTGATGATCTACAGGTGTTTGTGATGTGATAAGTGATGTTTGGTTAGTTCAAGTCGAAAAAGATCGCTAGTCGTACATGCATGTCTGGGGCTGACATCTGCGTAACCCCTCGTCTCAATCAGTTCTAAGACATCCGAAGTGCCGTGTTCAATTTCAATTGGAATCCTAACAAGTATATGAAGTTAAGGCAGTACGATATTCAAGATGTGAAATTTAAATACATTTGATCGATGAGGTTACGTAGCCAGAATAGTTTCTTTAACTTTACTCAAAGACATGATTCCCAAATTGTTTCGCTTGAACGTAGAAATCCCTTGCAATGATTTGCGAAGGCGATGATCAGTGATTCGACCCTGTAGCCACTCTTGATGAATCATGTCATTTGTTTCAATAGCTGCAATGAACAACGACCATTGAAATTCGTATACTGGTTGTTGCGACCCCGCAGGAGAAACGTACATGGCGAATCGAAGAAGTTGGCTCAGAGCAGTTTTGATCTCACTCAAACTTTCTGCTCCGAACGAGCTTGATCTGCATCGTGCGAAATATATGCGCAAAGCGTAGAAGATTGTAGCTGAGTTTGCACAATTGAGTTTCATGGCTGGTTGCAAGGTCATGTCTGAAGATCCATAGTAGAATACAGCACCATAACGCTATAACAAGTAAGTATCAATTTTTCAGGATGTGTAGCAACTCACTATTTCTAAAGCTGCAAATTCTTTTCGCAGACTCTCTTGCATTACATCTACCACGGTACATTGGGGTTTATGACTGAATCCGCTGGTTTTGCAACTTAGAACCAGCATATCAGTCATCATATCGACTGGTAGACAATTCTCAATATCTCGAATGCTTTGTGATATTGGGTATTCCGTTCCCCAATTCAGTTGTAGAGCAAGACGCGATTCCGCTTGTATAGCTGAAAGTTGTTCAGGATGTGCTGGGAAATGGTTTGCCAAGTTAGGCTTGCATCCCAGAAAACTCCCTTGAGCATCAATTTTTAGCAGCCACATAATAACACAAGCGATCAGACTTCGCTCTGCATCACTTTTAGTCGATTTCTGATCTGTTAAAGATGATTGACCATACGTTGATACTATCAAATTATGCTTTGTCAGATGGTCAATTGCCGTGAGACTCAGTCGGTCTAATTTCGATATAATTGTTCCGCTCGATCGCGACATATACATATGTATACAGTAAAAAGAAGCGAGTACTGCGAGATTGTCTGCGGGATTCTCACACTGCAAAGCTTGCATGAGTTGCTCCGTGCTTTTTTCGTAATGTTTATGCCCAAGTTGGCGAGGACGGCTAACATTGTCAGGATTGGAAGGCATATCGTGGAGCGAAACAGCTAATATGAGATGAAGAAGCATCTCCGAGTGCTTCGGTGCATGGAGTAGCAATAAGGTAGGAGTAGACCATTGTGGGTCTCTCGTCGTTTGAGATTGAGAGAATGCTGTTCGATAATGTGTAAGAGCCAACTCTTCGTCGTTATTCAGGGACATCCTATTTTCCAGCGACTTTTCTTGTGTTGAAAATATGTTCGCAATAGCAAGAGGCTCAAAAGATAGAAGACTGTAATTTGTGCGAGTATATGCATTCAGGCTCTAAGGGTCTAGAAGTAACCATTCGGCAACCAGGTCCAATAACATATCTGCTCCTGCCTCAGTAATTGGCGCCTGGCTTCGAGATGCATCTTCAGGATTTCCCACTGAAAATGCAGATGCTGATTCTGCTGCCAATCCATGGTCATATCCCGAAAGATAATGGTCCAATAGTGCTTCTGATTCTTGTGGTTGTTCCTCTGGTAGCTGTAAAGCTGGTGAAAGTGACTGAGGAGACCATTCAGAGTCTCGAGACTTTATTGGGCCAGCACCACGTCTTCGTTCTCTTACACTTGGTAGAATACGGGAGCACGGCTGCTGGCAGTCAAGCTTTAAAAGCTCGCATCTTCCGCATGAAGGGAAACGCTCATCACATTTGACTTTCTTTGCACGGAAAGTTAAGCAGCCTTTCGATCAAACCATTAGCAAGTGCTTGATGGTACTGATGCTGGATCACTTACCGTATTTGGAACGACCAGTTGTGTTCGATCGTTTTCGTTTGGAATTGATATTATCGGACATGGATCGAAAGTCCGACACAATCAGATTGTCATAAAAATTGGCAGTATTATACACATATTGTGATTGATACAAAACGTTCTTGAGAGATATGACAATCCCTCGATCCGTCAGTACATTTGAGCTTGTGGGTCAATACGAAATATACTATCAAATTGCATGGAGCTTTTCTAGCTTGTCGATAATTGTATCTGCTGATGACAAACTTGGTGTACAGCATAATGAAAATCGAAGATAATCCACCGAACCCCGCTTTCTCCACACCGAAACACTAAGGTTATCAAAGGACACAGACTCCAAATAGTTAAGCGAGGGGACGTCGGTAAATGCAGGGTCTGGTTGGCTAAATTACACGATCTTTACCGTAATATCTATCTCACTACTGATATGAGATCTTCGGAGTCTTGAAGTGAAAGTGGGCTTGAAAGTCAGTTTATCACGAGGAATCAAGCGGGATAGAAAACATTCACACAGCTGTTCAAGCAAAGTCTTTGCAATACACGACCTCTTCTATTTCCCCCCACAAAGTTTTCATCGTCTTGTTCAATTTTTGCTCGAGATTAATTCAATTCCTCAAATCGTTGAGATCGCTCAAAATCTTCGTCCAACGTCATGGGCAATACCATATCATACGAAGCTACGGAGCATAAGCTCGATTTTGGCGACGGAAAAGGTTCTATCACAGGTCTTCAATATGATAAGAAGGCACGTCGATATGCTGGGTACCATATGCACTGCCTCCATTAGGAGATTTGCGTTGGCGAAAACCTCAACCACTACCTGCCGACTACACGTATACATCACATGATGGCACGCCATCTGATGCTACAAAATTTAGAACGATTTGTCCACAGGCCGCTTATATGTCGGCCAAAAAAATAGACACTCCTAAAGAGGCATTTAGCGAAGATTATTTAAGGCTCCATCTCTGGACACCGGTTGAATCAGCCAAAGATAAGAAATGGCCAGTCATGCTATGGCTCCATGGAGGATGGTTCCAAATGGGAGGTCCATCACATAAACCAGGGATGGATCCAACCGAACTCATTTCAACGGGAAATTTGAACGTTGTTGTAGTAGCGATCGGCTACAGACTGAATCTGTTTGGATTTCTCGCCGGTGATGCCTTGCAAGCAGAGAACGGCAGCGCCGAAGCAGGTAACTACGGATTATGGGATCAGAGGCTAGCTATTGATTGAGTACGCGAGAATATTGCAAGATTTGGTGGTGACGTGCAGAATGTTATCCTTGCAGGAAGAAGCGCAGGCGCTTATGCCATACATGCACATGCTATGTACGAGTTTCAAAACCCAGCATTCTCAGCCGCATCTCCCTCATCCCATCGACTTGTCATGATGTCAAACGCAATACCCGCACAACCGAAGACACCCGCTGAGTGCCAAGATCAGTTCGACGAACTATGTCAGTTCTTCAATATTGCAGAAGGCTCCAGTGGTGCCGAAAAGCTGGCATTGCTGCGCAAAATAAAATCAAGAAACTTGTAGACGCCATCATGAAGCTGAAAAATCACACATTCAGACCTGTGACGGATTCATCATTTATTCAACCAGGCATGATGGATTACCACCGCAACGGCACTTTTGCGAAAGAATTCAAAAAGCGAAATTTCAAGATACTAATTGGCGAAATGTTAAATGAAGAAACGCTTTATGCTGCAACGAATGGACCTGAAGCAAACGTGGACTCTCTTCGCCTTCAAGTTTCTAACTACTATGCACCTGTAACAACGTCTCGCGTGTTAAAACACTACAAACTCCCGACTACAGGAGAGAAGAGTGATTGGACGGCATTATGTGGCCACATAATTTCTGATTGTCAAGTGCGCGCAATATCTCGGTTCTTAGCAAACAGTATTTTCTCAAATAGTGTAGAAATTAAGGATATCTGGCGGTATAGGATCTCGTATCGACTATCATTCATAACAGATGCTGTTGCACCAAGAAGCTTGGGTGTAGCTCATGCAATGGATAAACCTTTTTGGAAATAAGTCTATCCCTTCAAGGGAAAAGTGCGGAGACGACATTTGACTGACATATCTTTCACCCGAATAGTTTCTCGATAATGCACGGTCCAACTGAGCAAGAACTTGTTCTGATGAAGGAATGGATTCGTGATTTAGTCGCATTTGTAGGTGCCGAGAATGATCATCGATATGGCCCCAAGGAGATTGATGAGTTTAAAGTTGCTACACCGGAGGGCAAGATTGAGATTCAAAAAGACCCAAGGTGGAAGGAACTCTTGGAGCTTGCTGATGTATTCTCCGGATGAGAAATTTCATAAACTATTTAACAAGATAATCTTCAATTGTGAACAATTGCAGTCTATATCTAAAACCTATTAGACTTCTAAAAACAAATGTAACACCCAAGTTCATCCAAAATTAGACCCAAATTTTCAAGAACATCCCACCTTCAACATAGTATACAAGCAAGCTAGTGCTCCAGGACCTAGCAAGTACCACCGGCGCAACATGCAGGCGATTCCTTCGTACATCCGTCCTCGTTGCAATTACAATTCTTAGGATCCGGAGGTAAAGTAACGACAGGTGTCGATGTAGAAGTCGCCGAAGTTGGAGGTGCAAAAGATGAGGATGATTCGTCACCTAGTGGTATGACATAATCGCAAACAATCGTACTAGTGTCATCGGCATCGATTACTACCTCGCCGTGGCAATTTTCAGGCCAGACTGGTTTTGGAAGAGTTGCAGGATCTGTGCTTTCGTCTCCCAGATCGAGATTCTCGGTAGTAGCCTGGACATCGGTTTGCCTGGACATGCGGTTGAGACCACGTTCGGGTAGTTCTCCCGCTTAAGCTGTCCCTTTACCTATCCATCCCCATTGTTTTCCGTATAGTTTGTCCACAAATTACCAGACGTAATTCTCCACTGTCTGATTGTCAGCTTCTTCACAATATTGAAAGCCAGAAATTGGTGGAAATTGACGAGAATAAAGTCCGCGTGGCACGTACCATTAGCAATAATATTATGGTTTATATTCATCTTATCACCCTTCATAAACTTCCATGCATAGTCTTTCGCTGAACTCATACCAAATATTTTCTGCATCGCATTCAGCGCCAAACTAGGGCCAACAAGATTAGACAACTTACACGTTTTGGGAGGTGATCGTCGATTGTATCAAGCAGATCTGTAACGGGAAGTAGTCAACAATTGAATTCTTAATATTGATTTTTTTGACCAAACTTAAGCCTTAAAAGACTCTTTTCATGAGTACAGAACTGCAACTTACATCGCACGATATATCATAGTTGCTCCTGTATTGCCGCTCTGCATTGGGATACGCCGTAGCCCACCAGACCCCCTTGTACGCATTTTGCAAGTTATTGAGCATAGCTATTTCAAATAAACCCAGGGCTCGCTTTTCGATTGTAGTGTTGAATATACCGGCATCTCTGATATGTAGATACTCGGAAAGTAAAACTGCAGATACAACCAAAGAATATTGAAAAAGAACACTTGCCAACGGGGTAAACTTCATTCGCAGTATTTTGTCGGATTCTTGAACAAGAACAAAATTTGATGGAAACTAATGAAAGTATGTGTACAGACTGGGACCGAAAAACAAGACTTCATCTTGAAGTCTTTATACACCTACTATGTTCTTTCTCAAGGAAGAAATGAAGGAGCAAAACTGTCCTTGCCTCAAATCCAATTTCTAAAACCTACATTCAGTGCTTAGGAGTGCAATTATGTTGTAACTGTTGAAACTCAGTGAGTAAAAGCAAGGAGGATCTATATCCACGGTAAGTCAAGGTTGAATTCCTTGAGCTTCATGGCTTCATGCTAAATTCAGGGTCAGTGAGGCAGACAACCATCGATGGTGGCTTAGGAATATATAGGATTGTTCTGGTGTCTATTAAACTTCAAAATCAATGCCGCTTACTATGGGGTGTTATTTTTTGCTAAAATTGGAGAGAAAATAATTCCATTGGTATGCAGGTACTTGTAGTCAGTTTGCTGAACGGGAAGGAGGATTCAAAATGATGCTGCGAGTATGCCTTCCATGAAATCCTTTGGCACATCATACAAACTCATCTCGTAAATAACCTAGCTGAAACAATTTTCTAGGGGTTGAGGTGCCAACTGTTGGCTAGAAGTAGTGTGTGATTCTGCATCGTGGTTGGGACCGGCGGAAAATGGCTATCCCTTTTGGCTTGGCGAGCTATTGCTCTTGGAATAGACCATCTTTCAGCAATTTCTATTCATTGGTATATAATTATTTGCTCTTGCTGACTTTGAACTAGGACATCAGCATAAATCACTGAAAGCGATGAATTTCTAATGGTGGCTAAGGTCAATACCACACAAGAGTGGAAGAATTATACCTCTTCCAAGTCTGGCTATCGGGATTATGGCGACAAACAGTATGTTTAGTGTGAACTACTCCTCTGTGTCAAATAGCTGCTGTGTCTGGTTGAACTAACGCAGCTCAGCGAAGAAAAATTATATTCAGACTCAGAACTAAAAGACTTGTTCAACGTAACACTATCGGCCATTCAGAAAACGACCGAAATCAAACTCAGTCGACCGATTGAAGTATTCGTCATTATGAATCTTAATGTTATGATTGGAGATCTCAATAATCTACTAGACGTCGCGATCGAGATTTTGCCTGGCATGAAAGACGGCTCGCAATTACGGCATTATCTCCATAGCATGCGACTAGCATATCGTCTCAATACTGCAGAAGCCCTTGGATACCCGGCAGGAACTGACATTAACCAAGAGTCGAATCTTCTGTTACACTTCGGTTATCAGGATAGTTGTCTTGAGGTCTCAATGACCGATGGAGGGACGATAACAAGTTTAGTGGAACAAAGGTTCGAAATTCCCGACTTTGGTGGCGTGGGTCAAATTGCTTCTGTAAGAACATCTTTCTAAGACCCATGAAGAAGATACTATGACGAAATGCTCGGCAATTGTCTATTTGAGATGCCCTAAGATTTATCCATCATCATGTCTTTGCTAAGAGCAACGCTGGATATTCGCGAACCAATAGGCTAATGATGTATTGCAGCTCGAGAAACTTGAACATCTTGCAAGCCGCCTGAAATACTTTATTAGAATACCACTATCAGATTCTCAGCCACCAGCGCTCACAGAGTTCAGAAGCATCGTCTTCAGTGGCAACGCGACCGCATCAGAATTTCAGAAGATTTGCGAAACAATCATAAAAGTTATCCTGGAATTTGCTGATAGGTTCAGCGAGGGCATCAACCCTGCATGGGTCAGTGCAGTAGGGGCGGCAAGAAGAGCCAGGGAATATATGTTGAACCCACAGAACTGGGACCATGGGTTCCAGGATCAAGTCTATGAGGACTTGTCGTGAAGAATCGAGAGGTCAATCTCAGCGCTCTACTAGCATTAAAGTGGACTGATGTTATCAAACATAAGATTAAGATTGATGTGAAATGTTAAATCTGGTGTATATTTACACAAATAGTGAAGATCCATTCCCATGCAATGAAGCTCAATAAACATTCAACACTACCTACTATCAGTCAAGCTTTTTAATACCGTCAATTTCTGTTTTGAAGAATACTCTTGCAAATAGCCGCTCTCGCAATCGAAAACGTTTCTCAATCTTATCGATCCCGTCCAAAAATACGCGAATGTGTATTAAGTGTTTCTTCTGAAGACACTTTCCCCCTGGATTGATGCTATTCTCTCTCTTACATTGAGCATAACAATCACGACGTTCCTGAAAATCAATCCAGATGCATCTTTGATTCCTAGAGCAATTTTGAATCACTAATAAATGAATCACTAGATTTATTTCATGCTTCAGGCACCCAACTGGGGTTCTGAGATAAACAAGAACTGATAATCTGTTCTCATAGATGGCCGACTAATTCTTAAGCCAACTATCAATAGATTAATCATCTCCTTACGTTCCCCTCCAATCCATTCATCCAAGCGAGTTTCGCGCTCAGGATGCGCATTCAGAAGATACAGCTATCATACAAATATTCACAATCTCTTCATCACCCCTCACACGAATGACATGAAATCCAACCACAAATTACCTACCATATGAATCCTCACGTACAAGCTCGAAAACCATAGTCCGTGTCAATATCAGGGCTTGCAAGCAGGGCTAGCCCTGACTGCCTACCTAGACATCGCTAATTGATTATATCAAGGTAATTACCAACTCTTATTTATCAACACTACACTCAATAGTTCAACGTCGATATATTCTCACAATTAGAGAAAAATCCACAATCAGAAGAGCTTGTTTGGATAATTTTTAGGTAATATAGAGTAAGATTTTTCAGTGATATAGATGTCAATGAGTAGTTCTCAAATGCAAATTAATTTACTTATATATAAATATTATTACAAACAATCAATAACTATTACTCTATATTATTTAGATTTATCTCTATACTTTCTTCTAAAGTAACACACTACCCCTATATTAGTAATATAGATATCATTCAAACAAGCTCTAAAATACTAAATTCCTCTTGCTTCTTCTTTTCTCGCCCCCCTTTAGTATTCAAACCCCCCTCTCTTAAATCTTCAAATCTTCAAATCTTCAAATCTTCAAATCTTCAAATCTTCAAATCTTCAAATCTTCAAATCTTCAACATCCCTAATCTCAATTTATTTTATCGACAGAATAAAGTTAACAAATTGAAGACAAAAATCAAGTCATTCACTAATTCACCCAAAAAATAGATGTCCTCGGGTTCTATATGTGAATAGGGTCTCATCAAAAATGATATCATCGGATGTCTTTAATATAATTACATCTATCCTTTGAAAACCAGTCGTACTTGGCTGTTATCGGATATTCCCCCCCTTTCATAATCACACGTAAAGTACACATTCACATTCACACACATCATCCAAAACCTTATTAACATACGAGTGGATCAATTCATCTACCTAATATCTAATCTCAAGACTAGTGTTTGCAAAGTAGTATTTGTAGAAGTAAGGCTACCTAATAAAAAGCTAAAATTCCATCCCATCCTGTCCACCAGTCCATTCCAGTCATATTTGCAAACCATTCCCCTTCAAGTTCCGGACAGGAGAAACCGGTTTACAAACTATGCGCCCAAACAACCCACCCATGCAATTTGACTCCTTTCTCTCTTCTTGAACTTCCATTACAAAAACGTAAGTAGATAGAAGGAATGAAGAAGAAAATGAATCTGGCTGATGAAAGAAGAAAGAAACAATTGCAAAAAATAGCTCGTGAATACATACTGGTTTGGCTCAAAAGTAAGCAAAACCACCAAATCCCCCAGTTTTTGTTCATCCTCCAATGAGAATAAATACCCGAAATTTTATTCCATGTTCGACTAGACCTAATGCACGCCGGATTCAGTTCAATTTTCGCCATTAACACACGCCCTATGACAGATGGAAAGCTCCCTGTCCTTCCCTAATGGCAGTACTCATACGTCTTCGCATGACATCTAGATCAGTATAGTCGGGCAATTTGAGATAGTTGACACATGTCATGACACTTGGTAAATAGTCATCGGAAGAGTAGGGTGGTTCACTAGGTTTACAAACCACAGTGAACATTGGTGTAAGACTCTTGAAGCCTGGAACAATTTAGCTATAAGTCGTAGAAAAGGGATACAGGCATGTATAACTTACCACCAATGGGGAGTTTTGGGCTTCCAGTTGTGAATTGAAGGAAGTCCCGACGATCTGGCAGACTGAGCTCACTCATTGTCTGGAGCAAGTTCTTCACACTCTTGCTGTCCATATGGAAGCCGTGGTCTGCTTTGATAGAATCGGTCAAAGCTATACGCATGTTAGTGTCATTATATCATAAAATCGAAGGGAACTAAACATACTTTCAAGAGACCAATCCTCTTCAACTCTGCCAAACAACATAACCAACTCATCGGGGGTGAAGGCTCTCAAAGCAGAGTATGGGAAGACTTGAGTGAAGCCTTCACGGAATGCATCGATTTGTTTTTGAACACCACTTCCCAAAGTCATATCAATAACTTTCTCAAGGTAGAGATCAACGTTGTCAATAGTGACAGATATTGAAGAGCCATCGGGAAGAAGATCAATGGCATATCCCGGAAGTGTAAAGTCCAGACTGAGATCTTCAATCTTAGCTCCATCGATCTCCAGGGCTTCTGTAGCAAGGACTTTCTGAGTAGCTGTCAAACTCGAGTCCTCGGCGATAGCCTTCTTTGCAACAGAGAACTTCTTTATCATCTTGAGGGACTTAGCCAATTGAGGGTCGACAGTTTTGACCGTACCAAGAGAGGGAGTCACAGGATTTGATTCGTCGCCAATGCGGAAGAATGTTGGATTGAAAGAAACGTCGATAATGCGAGAGTCGATCATAGACCTGGAAACAAACTTGCCGAGCATCTTGAATAGGTGTAAAATTCTCTTTCCATTCTCATTCAATGATTGTTCTTCGCTCATAGGTGCTGGGAAAAGGCCTCGGACACCGAATGCATACTCATCGGTATCGTTGTCATTCTCGCGCCACAACTTGAGCTTCTTCTTGGAGAACTCTTTCGAGACCGAGGAATAAAATTCAAGTGTTGGCCCGAGACCAGTTCCAACCTCTTCAAAGTACTCAACCTCTAGAATACTCTGAGATGCACCATAAAGCTCCATGACTTTCAAGGCTGATTCCAAAATCTTGGATCTAGATATCCGGACTTTCTGGCGTTGAAGCCTACCTAGGAAAGGACGTTCATCGCGATGACGGTCCCGGCGAGATTCGTCAGCAGATTGGGCATTTTGCCATCTAGTCATTGAACGAGCATAGCCAAAAGAAGTTGACTGCAGGAATAGATGACGTGTCTCGAAAGGAAACAAGAACGGATAAAGTCGAGCAAGATCTTCGCTCCAAGTTGGAAGACAGTTACTGGCAACCACAAGAGGTTCTTCAAGTTGTCTGTTCAACTTTGCAGTGAGCTTAGTGTTCACGAATTGTGATAAAGGCTCAGCATTTAATTTCAAGGCATCCTTATTATCAGCCAAAACATCGTCTAGGTTGGCATTGAGAGCGTGTAGAATGTTAAGTAATCGAAGGATTGAGGACGTTGCAGGATGCTTATCTAGCGATGCGGGAATGCCAGACGCCGTAGTTTCTGTACTGGCCTCTGATGCCCGGGATAGAGAGCTAGGTTCTGGAGGGGGTGGCCCTGGAACACGCTTAAATTTAATGGGGTGAATCGCGGACCAAACACTTCGACTTGATTGATCTTCCACCGTGTTGGCCATTGTATGAACAGCGCGGTAAATAGTTGTATCATTAGCAATTGCTTTGCCATCCAAACTGAACTCAATGTGCCAATCTGACGGAACAGCTTGGATTGCAGCTGCATAAGACATAGGTCTGGACGATGTGGTTGGTGTGGACAATGCCTCTTGGGCAACAGCTGCCTGGAGTGCAGAGCTACTGCGGGAAGTGCTTGGTAAAGATTGTGATGGAGTCGCGACTCTTGTGCCGTCTTCCTTACGAGCTGTGACCTTGCCACCTGCAGCGACCTCAAGATTTACAGCTGTAGGATCAACAGGGGAATCCTCTTCCATTTCTTCTTCCATGTCGCCGACAATGGCGTCCAGTGCCGAGCTATCTTCTAACTCCTCATCCTCACTCATCTGTCTCTCATCAGCACACTCGAGGGCGGTAGCAAGTGCATCCTCTTCTTGCATGGGTGGTGGAGGAGGTGGCGGAGGTGGATCTGTTTGAGCTCCCGAACGTCGAGCCGAACGCCGAGCAGGTTTATCTACAGGTGTATTCGAGGTCGATTGGTCGGCCGATGCAGGGGTTGGGGCGGGACCAGACTTTGATTTTGCCCTACGAGAAGTGCGGGTGGTAGATGCGGTTGGATTTGCTGCGGCTGCGGCTGCAGCGAGACGTGCCTGGGCACTCGGAATACCGGCATATGGATTGGGCAAGCCAGCTGCAGCAAGAGCAGCTAATGCACCAGAAAGGCCATCTCTAGCTCTAGGTGGCCGAGGACGGTCAGACAAGCTGATTCTGGGACGAAGGTAATCATCCAAAGCCTTGAAAGTAGCGATAGCATGAATAGAAACCATGATATTTCGGTACGATCTTGGAATTTCGGAGTCTTCATCAGCTACTAGCTTGAGACGAATTTGTTTAGCAAGCATAGACGCAGCACTACTCCTATTTCCTTCAAAGCTATTTGAATGAACGGTCACTACTTCAAAATGTTCTGATCGGCTCAACAAATCTTGTAATTTGTGGATAAGAAGACCAAATGGAGTTGCAGGCATATCTGTTCCAGTGATTGACTTCTTAGTAAGAGTTTGGCCCATGAAGACTTCGAGGAACGCAGACCTAGCATCATTGGCCAGCTGCTCGTCGGGATTATTGAAAACTTCCAATAGAACTTGGACTATTTCGGAATTCAATAACTCGGCACTTGTAACACTTTGTAAAACATCGCCATCGAAATATGATGCGAGTGTGGTGAAAAGCTCAACTCCATTGCCTGGGCCTTGATGCAGATAGAAATTTCTAATGTCCGAAGCGAGAGATTGTAAACTCGTCAAGATTTTGGTTGCCTTCTTCTTCATGGCCTTACTATTCTTCTCATTCTCATGGATGTCAAGAAACTTTTGGGCGCGGGCGGCAATGATATGCATCATAGTCTTTGGATCTGATGATGCATGTCGATGAAGACCGTCCAATGACATTGTAGAGCCACGAGAGCTGACCGGAGAAGCTGTTACATCATCTTGTAAATCATCGTTATGTCCAATTTCATTATCCATTTCGTCCTCGTTATTCTCGTTGTCTTCGTTGTCTTCGTCTGAAGAGTTGTGATCTTCGTTACGAGCCTCTCCATTTTGACCCGCCTTTTCAGATATTTTGCGATCTGCATCGGCTTGCGCGGTAGTAGGCTTAGACTCAATTGTTTCCGCAGACGGGTGTTTGTTTTCAGTCTTGGTTTCCTCGATAGTGGCTAGCTTAGTAATTTCCGCAATTACTCCCTCTCTGTAAAATTGGTAACGATATATGTCTTCAAGGCTAACTAGAAGCAGCTCCGTAGCTTGAAGTGCCGAGACCACTAAGCTGGGGTGATCTTGTTGTGAGAGAATTGCAGCTAAAAAGGATGCATATGGAACTGATCTTAAAGCCTCCATCAAAATATCTTTATCAAGATTGGAAAGCATTCTGAGCTGAGCATTAAGGACCTTTTGGCGAACGTGAAGATTGACGGTGCTAGAGAACGCATCCGTTAAGGTTGGAAAGAGAATGATTGCAAATCTCTTGACCTCTTCTCTACAGTCCTCCAAGAGTTCAATACGAATCTCGTTCGCAGACTTTTTTCTTGAACCAGATGATGCATTTGTTGCTCCCGATGGAGATTCGGTGTCAATATCATCGTCGAACATTGAATTGCCACTTCGTGGAATTCCAGGCAAAAGCTCACATATAACATTCAGAGTCTCGATAACCTGTTCTCGTGGTCTGTGGATCAATGCTTGCATGATCACAACGCTGTCAATCTTTGATGCTACATCCTCTGTGGCGCTGGGTGGCGAAACACCAGTCAAAATTTGATATAATGTTTCAACAACGTTCATTTTGAAGAGTTCGGCGGACAGTTTAGGACTCGCCTTTGCTGTGAAAGCAAGAACGCGAAGAAACTGTGTATGAATATTAGCACCAATGAGATTGGTAGATCCAGGGAGCAAAAGACGAAGAATAACTCGTAGTAAATCGGGGCTGACGAGCTCCTCAAGCTTGCTTGGATGGTACCTGAAGCTCTCCACAATCCGAGTTACACAGAGCGAGCCCTGCTCCACGACTTTCTGATCGTTAGAATTGAAAACGCTTAGCAAATTGGGCATGACATCCTTGACTACGTTGAAGGAATCCTCTGGAATATTTCTGCAGCAATTTGCAGCAGTAGTGACCGCAGTTCTTTGTGTGTTTGTGTTATGGAAGTCAAGGTTTGTTAGGCAACCTGTCAATCCTCCCTCGCGGACAATTGATGCTGGATATTCAATAGATATTTTTTCCAACGTCTAAAGTAAAAGTTAGTAATTGAAGGAGAAATCTAAGGCGGAGCACTTACACTTAAAGCCTGTTCAGCTATATCAATGAAGGTTAATTCTAAAATGCTCTGGCAGAGAACTGGGACAGCGCCACCGTAGACAACGTTAGCAGTGCTTGCAGGTAAAGCTTCCATCAAATTGGCAATGCATCGACATGCAAGGAGCATTATCTCAGGATTTGCCTCCCCAAATCCGAAGTCAGCAGGTTGCATCAAAACCACCAGTTCTTTGACAAAGGCATCCGGAGAAAAGTGGCCGGAAAGATTGTCTTCGGTAGAAACAAGTAGTATCTCAGAAAGTTCTTGTAAAGCTATCAATTGAATGGATGGGTCATCTTTTTTCTTCAATTGTGTCAAAATGTCGCGCAATCGAGAAGAAACTCCAGACATCATGCCACTCAAAGCTCGCAGAGTGCTCGATAACCCATGGGGTGGTCCACCAGGTCCACCAAAGCCACCAAATGGATCGTCATCATCATCATCACCGCCATCGTAGTCTCGAGGAATATCATCGTCATCATTCTCATCGCTGGGATCATCGTCATCGAGTGGATGTGGGGGAGGCTTATCATCTGCATCTTTCATTGTAGTATCTGCATCCTTAGCAGCAGTGGCGGATTTCTTCGACTTTTTACTCGAGCTTGGGGTGCTGCTTGAGGCGTCTGCTTGAGAGGATATTAGCAACTTTCCACTAGATCGACTTGAATGTGAATTTCAATAGACCTGGCCCACCTTTCTTATGGTTTCTATTAGACTTGCGCCTGGAGGAACTGGCTGCCGTGTTTGATGGTTCATTGGAAGGACCAGCAGAATCACTGTATATATTGTTAGACACTAGACCTTGATCCAAATGGGTCTTAACTTTCCTATGACTAGACATAACCGCAGGAGCTTTTGCGTTCTTTCGACGAGAAGATGCGGCTGAAGCAGGAGCGGGTGTTGGGACTTCGGGTTCCGAGACCTTCTGACGCTTTGAACGCTTGGATGGAGTTGCCTTTATGGGTTCAGGTTCCAGAGCGGGACTTGGTTCCCGCACAGTAGCTTTACGCTTTCGTGATGGGGCTGAAGAGCGACCTGGAGGAGCTACTGCTGCAGTTGCTGCAGTCGCAGAAGCAGAAGAACCGGCCGATGATTCTGAAGAGTTGGCAGCTTGCCGCGCGGATGATCGTGTAATTCTGGAAGACATGAGTATTGGCTCTTGAATAATAACCTCTTAATCTATTCAACCATCGACAACTGGTGATTGACAGTCGCAAGTAGTTGAAAATGATTTAATGATCAAGAAGAAATTGTTGACGAGGAAGAAACGCAGGTAAAAGACAAAGGTAAAGGTGGTTGTGTACCTGGGACCAAATGAAGAAGATGAAGAGATGGAAGTCGCAGTGGAGAGTGGTCTTGATATTTCTGGACCGTTATCGTTAAATGATGTCGACTCTTGTGGCCTTTCAATATGACTCGTACCCTTTGCCATTAATCCATCAGTTCGGTTTCTAGTATAGAAGTCGCCAGTAGTTCCTTTTGTATTGATTTTTCCTTCTAAATATCGTTTGTGGAGGAAATTATCGACTTCCTTTTTTTTTTTTCGAAGAAGAAGAAGAAGGGGCGGTGGTTGACTTTCCTTTCAAGGAGTTTGTAGTGGTGGTGGTGGTGGTGGTGGTGGTGGTGTGTATTGCTTGCTTGCTTGTAAGAGGAGCCTTGTGTTCTATCTAATAATAAGTAGGTACCTATGTATGTTGTAGTGCGGGTGGAGACTAGCATTTATTTAGTAGAGCTCGAAAATTTAGCGGAGTGAAGCTACGGTACGGTATATAGGTCATCAACGTCAATACTTATTAATAACCACAATACTCGAGGATAGAGAGTTAGTTGTAATGAATTTATATTGAATAATTTCAGGAATGTATGATGAGGCGAAGGTAATTCAATGAAGATCAAGATTCACGACTTCTAATTCCATTGTCGAGGGGAGATTACATCAATTACATAAGTGTAAGTTGAATTTGGCCATACAATCCTTATATCAACGCTTTCAAATCATACATAGGTGGGCAATAAAGAGATTCCTTTCATTCCAAACAGATGTTTCTATCATGATAACATCGAGACCTTGCTTCTCTATATGGTATATGTTATAACAATTCACTATCCAATGTTACTTCGTTTACAATGAACAAAAGAACCGAGACTGGCATTGGAGAAGAACATGTTTCACCTGCATTATTCGACTACCTAGATAGATAGACATGTCATGTCATTGGCGACTGGAATTCGAGAATCTTTTTGTGTCGGGGGCTCAAATAGCATGCATTTTACCCCAATTCTACTAAACAAAAGAATCTATACCGGATACTAATAAGCATTCCAGATTGATACTGGAAAATGGCACATGTCCGTTCAAGAATACATGATCTTTGAGGCGGCACCTGGAAGACAGTATTATCTACGTCTCCTTCGTCATATTGAGCAAACCGATCTCCTATCAGACAGTTTCTTTATCAATATATGGCTTTCTTCTCGAGCGCAGTGAGCTATGGGGGCTTGGGGGCTTGCCCCCATTTGAGATATATCTAATGATGATGATCAATGAAGAAGATGGATAGATGTATAACATATTATGCTAGTCGAGTGGCTAACTCAAGCTGGCCGATATTCAAGATCTTCATTCTACGGAATACGTGAGTTTACTCCGTCGATATTGGTTGAGCGAAGCTTTTGTATGGGAGAAAATATCCAATGTCATAAGATATCTCTGGATATCACGATACCACCTCTGTATCTTGCATAGCTACGTACAGCTGTATTATAGGTTATTAGACCTTTCACAATCTCCAAACACTATGGACAACTCATCTGTACCAGAGATCACTTCCACTTACCTTCCATTCGTATCCCGGATACTAGAATCGACTGATATCACTTCCAACACACACCAAGAATGTTTTTGATGAATATCATGTACCCCGATGCTTCTTGTAATCCTTAATTTTCTTGTCCGTAGGCCGAGAAATAGAAGCCCACAGATGAACGTGTTTGAATATATGTCACTACACCCAAAAGATAGTTGTAGAACAAAATATTTGTAATTCCTCAATGCAATGTACATTCACACGGTCGAAAAAGCCATTCACTCTTTGGCCTTGAACAGAGAGCTTCGTATGAAGTGCTGTAGCGATACCTCCCCGTACGTTCAACATTTTGGCTGTGAAACAATGAGGACAACTCCTCTATCTCGCTGCAGGAGACGTTGTCCTTCGATCGGCCATATGCGTAGTTACTTCATGCTCCTACGCCTACCTCCTCGAAACGACAACATCTTTCTGTTTCCTCCAGCACGGAGCTGGGCAAAGCGTCGACCAACAGAGAATTTGTTCAAATCTCATGCTCGTTTCGGTACCACGGGTGACGGGTAACATCTCGAGCTCGAACAATTCCGGATGAGATGGATATATCTTGGGAAATTCGGCTTTACCGGGGCGGTTTCACGGGGTGTAGTGGGTATAGGAGGGTGGTGGGGAATTGAGCATTGTTTCTGGTAGGTAGGAAACAAAACACACTTTTCTGGGCTTGGTGCAATGCAAGCACGCAGTTTTGGAAGGTTGAGCAACAGTTGGTGATAACTTTATTAGCTTGGGTTGGGAATTTGATTGCCGAATAATCAATCTACGGCGATGACCGCTTTTCATGGGTAAATCCCTAGATTAATTTCGGAATCAGTATACCCAGTATGGTTGTCCCAACACCGAGGCTCTACTCGAGTAGATGTGCTTCTCCAAGTATTATGGAAATTGCCTCATAAGCTGACCAAGCCAGACAATACTATGCATACTAGCTACCTACGTCGGTATCTGTTAACCAAAATAATGCTAACGAGGGGTTGAACATTTTGAAACGATTCAAGTTAGAACATTTCTCTCTGATTGGAGCCGGGTGCATTGTACATCGTGCATTGTGCCTGGAGGCTTGCACGCAGAAGAGGAGATAACAGCAGCAAGCAAGCATTGGCACCTCATCCAAACCAGCAAACCAGCAAACCAGCAAATTATGAGTAGGTAGGTATGGATAGAACTGAATGTTGGATTCCCAAAACATCATGAGTCGAAAACACACAACAACTTACCTGTGGTTTGTAAGTGAACACTTGCAACTCTGAACCAATTTGCGCTTCTCGTCGCGATCGTCTCAATCCATGGATCCTCTCTATCGTCTCAATCGATCAACCTGCAATAACTCCGTACCTCCCATGTAGTTTGATTACTCCTCTCGCTCCTACCTCGCATTTTCCGGTGTAGGTATGTATCAAAGCGTAGGGGCGGGGCTTTGCGCATATCTCGAGCCATCCCACCACCTATCTCTGACTCCTCCCTCCAACCGATATTATAAAATTCACTAATCCACCGGACATCGAAAAGTCTTAATTCTGTTTTATTATTACTCACAAATCTATTTAACGTCACAATATTTATATCTCATCCTTTGAACATTATACATCAACATCAAAGTCGAATAAAATCAGAGACTACGGCGTACCTTATTCTTTGTCGTACTCTGCAAAGAGCGACCTCTAGAAATATCTTCAACTCATCGCAATTCCTTCGCAATCAATCCCCGCTATTCCAAAATTCGTCATCTAGACTTTGCTCTTCACCCAAAATCTCGAGAGTCTTTTCCACTTTTCCTCCAAAGAATACCATACAACTCCCGAATCACCATTTGAAGATGACTTCCAATCCTGCCGCCCAGGTCATTCCTGCGCAAACTCTCGACAATTACACCTTCCCAACCGATCGCCTGAGACTCACTCAAAATCATCCCGAGAAGACCCCCCTAGTATTGGTAGCATGTGGTAGTTTTTCTCCTATAACTTATCTTCATTTGCGAATGATGGAGATGGCTGCCGACTTCTGCAAGTTTAATACAGAGTTTGAACTCCTTAGTGGTTACTTCTCACCTGTCTCCAACTTTTACAAGAAGGCAGGCCTGGCAAGTTCGGAGCACCGGTAAGTTCCAAATTTCACATCGTTTTTGTAAATTTAGCTAACACCTGCAGACTTAACATGTGCGAACTGGCTGTACAGTCATCAAATTGGCTTATGGTGGATCCTTGGGAGGCCTTACAAACAGAATATACCCCAACTGCCCTCGTACTCGATCATGTTGAGCATGAGATAAACAAAGTTATGGGCGGTGCTATACGACCGGATGGATCCCGAGTACCTGTTCGCATTGCTCTATTAGCCGGAGCTGATCTTATCGAAACAATGAGTATTCCAGGAGTTTGGAGTGAGGCTGATCTTCAACATATTTTGGGACAATATGGTACTTTTATTGTCGAACGTACCGGCACGGATATCGAGGACGCTCTTGCAAGTCTCGAACAATACAAACGCAACATCTATGTCATCCAACAACTTGTCACAAATGATATCAGTAGCACAAAGATTAGACTTTTCTTAAGGAAAGAGATGAGTGTACAGTATTTGTTACCCGCTCCAGTCATCGAGTACATCGAAGAGCATCACCTTTACGAAGAGGATGGTGCATCATCCATTAGCGCAGGCAAGTCCAAGGCAGCAGAAGGGTCCGGCCGGGCATCACCTGCAGTTGGAGATTCGAAGCTCAAGAATCAAGGAGGAAATTCATGACTGCGGAACGACTAGAGCGACAAGAGCGACAAGAACGAGTTATGATTATACGAACCAGTTACAACTGGAAAGTCATTCTTTCAGCCAGATAAAGATATAACCTGGCTCTCATATTCACGGCATAACTTTCCAGGAACACTGGCAAAGACCGATTTCATGCATGTTAAAATTCAATTGGAGACCGATTTGGGATAAGGCGGGCATTTGAGCATTTCAGCCGGAGTTTGAGGAGCGTTTTGGGGATACGGTTTAATTTATCTCATTTCAAATACTAGATGACTGGCAATTCCCGCCGACGACAGCATAATCTTATGAAGGACAAATAGACTGAGTCTATCGAGCTCCGTTACCAGCGTTACCAAATTTTGACCTTTAGCATTGTCTTACAGCAGCGTATGCAATCATCTATTTTGATGAGAAACCTTTGACACGAACTTGATGTATAACATGAAGCAATCTTTGAGACAATCACAACCTACAAATCCGCAGCAATATGTAGAGGAAAGTAAGTCACTGATTCACTGCTCGATTATGTAAACAGGCGAGTACCTTGTGAGTTTGTTGGCCATTGTGAAACAAGGATTCAAATGATACGCGAAGCTCTACGCCACATAGAACGACAAGCTAGAACTATGACAGCATTGGTTGGTGGCTGGGACGCATCTACAATATTGATATCGTATACAGGCAACAATCATCAACTAAATCCAACACAACAATACAATATCAAATCAACCATTTAATTATCGATCTTTAAACTCAACCAACAACTACCATATTGGTTTGACAGTTATTATCACACTGCACATCGTCCTCTTGGTACGCTTACTTCATCCGCTTCGTCTGTGTATCATCGACTCTAGGCCTTCGTATATCGCGACGCCGGCCGGCGCATGTAAACAAACGCAGTGATGCGGTATTCCTTCACTTTAGTCGGACTTCTCACTGCAGCTTTCGTAGCAGGGGAAGGATTTACACCGAGACACGAAGCTGGAAGATGTTCGATAAGGGGTAGTTGTGGGAAGGATAGTTGGT